TGCTCTCTCTCTCTCTAAAATAAATAAATAAATTTTACTGAAACAATAAACTAAAGTAAAAGTGCTCACACCAATTAAACTATTTTCTTTTTAAGTTTACTTATTTATTTTGAGAGAGAGCACACCAGCAAGGGAGGGGCAAAGAGAGGGAGAGACAGAATCCCAACCAGGCTCGACACTCAGTGTGGAGCCCAGCTCAGGGCTCAGTCTCACGTGAGATCATGACCTGAGCTGAAATTAAAAGTTTGGCGCTTAACCAACTGAGCCACCCAGGTACCCCTCAATTAAACTACTTTAAAATAACTAAAGTTTCCCTGCTCCGAACTCTGGCTAACTCCTTAACAATGTGCACACAGGCAGATTGCAACCAGTCTTGTTAAAGACAAAAAACAAAACAAAACTGAAATGAAATTTGAGCTACTGTCTGAGAGTTTGCAGACTGAATTCTAGAAAATAATTTCCAATAAAAAAACAACACTTTTTGAAAAAATATAACAACATAGCACACATTTGTCCACCATACAGTCCAAAACTACTTCATACACAAGAAGCAGTAAAATGTGACCCAGTCTCAAGACTAAACACAATCAATGAGGACCAACCCGAAGATAATCCAGATATTGGAGTTAATAGACTAAGATTTAAAAATAACTACTAAAACTATGTTCAGTGAAGTAGAAGAATATGTGCATACAATGAAAAAAAAGGAGAAAAGTCTTAGCAGAAAAACAGAGAATATCAAAAATAACTATGGAAATCCTAATATAGGAAATTATCTGAAATTTAAAATCCTCTAAACAGTTTAATAACAAAATGGAAATAACTGAGGAAGGAGTCAATGACCTTCAAGATAGATGAATAGACATTATACAATCTTAAGAACAGAGAGGGAAAAAAAAGATTAAAAAAAATTAAGAGCTCAGGGACCTATGGGAAAATAATGAAAGATCTGATAAATGTGAAACTGGGGTCAACAATAGGTAAGACAAGAGATGGGACAGATACAAATTCAAAAAGCTCAAAAAACACTAATGAAGTTAAAGAGAACAGAAATTGGGCACATCATAATCAAACTGTTGAAAACCAAAAATAAAGAAGAGAAGATATTAAAGGCAGCCAGAGAAAAATATTATTTTACATATAGGGGAACAGCAGTTTGAATGACTGCTGATTCCTCATAAAAACCCCATGAAACCAAAGATATCCAGATTGAAAAGGAAGAAGTACAACTATTTCTATTTTAAATATAAAAAAACTATGGAATCCACTAAAAGATAATTAGACCTAAGAAGTAAGTTTCTAAAAGTTGCAGAACATAAGATCAACACACAAAATTCAAATTTTTAGATACTAGCAATGAACAATCCTAAGGCAAAAAAAAAAAAATTTATTTTTGAATTTCATTTCCAGGATGCCTGGGTGGCTTAATTGGTTAAGTGTCCAACTTAGGCTCAGGTCATGATCTTGCTGTTCATGAGTTCAAGCCCTGCATTGGGCTCTGTGCTGACAGCTCAGAGTCTGGAGCCTGCTTTGGATTTTGTGTCTCCCTCTCTGTCTCCCTTCGCCTTCTCATACTCTGTCTTTCTCTCTGTCTCAAAAATAAATAAACATGAAAAAAATTTTAAAAAATCCATTTCCAGTAACATACAAAAGAATAAAATACTTAAGAAAGACACCCCAAGCTCAGAGATGAGAAGATCCATCCATGTTAGCACAGTAAAAATCCTTAATACACAGATTCAATGGAAACCTTGCAATCCTTATTTAAAAAAAATCTTTGCTGAGGGGCGCCTGGGTGGCTCAGTCGGTTAAGCGGCCGACTTCGGCTCAGGTCACGATCTCGCGGTCCGTGAGTTTGAGCCCTGT